CTGCAGGACCATAAAAGTCTTCGGAGGGGGGGTTTATTGTCCCCCAAAACAAACTCTTGGCGCCGTTCTGTGACTCTGGAATGTGGGCTCCAGAACTTGGAGTGTTGAAGCCTTGTGAATTAATCCCATGAGAGATTAATTTGATTAAGTTGTGTTTGATTCGCCTTGATTCTCTACAGTAGTTTGTAAAGCCGTTTCATTCCTATTTATGACAACTTCTCTTTCTAGGTCAGAACGCAGATCTGAATGTTCGTTGTGATCATATTTGTCAAAGGTTTAATAGACAGAGCCAAATTGCAATCTTTTAACAATTAATCATGGAGCTGTGTAACTGCCTGCATCTGAAATCAGCCCTATATCTCATTCACTATTCTCTTCATTACTCCACCAATTTAGTCCACTAAATAAGTGAATAAAAACTAAAAAGTGGGCCAGATGTGCTTCTTACGGTAATCTAACACTGCGACACGACACAGAATGGTGTGGCAAACCATCAACGCGACGCATTCATCTTCAGTCACCTGGAATGAAGCAGGTTGCACCCACATAGAAAATGCTGCCCGCAAATGGTGCGCATGCACTGTTCCAAAAAACAAAACAAAAACGGATGACGAGTCAGACAAGAAATTTAAGGTCTGTACGTGAAATTTAAGACCACCTTATCGAAAATGTCAGATTTTAAGACATTTTCAGGCCTTAAAAAGCGAAAGTTTTATTTAAGACTTTTCAAGGACCCGCGGGGACCCTGCTCTGTCGTTTTGCTTTTTTTTTTTTTTAAAGAAATAAAAAAATAACTATTCGGTTGAATAACGGTTGCTTCAATTGTAAACTATTGTTAATGTCTGCTTTGCTCATTCAGCACACAGTTCAGCAGGAATCACAGTTCATTGATCACACAATGACTGGCAAGATTATAGCGGAGGATTCGTTGCGCAACAGAGCCTAGCTTCAGATAAATGTCTTATCTTGTAGAATCCACACTCAGTACTGCTCATACACAGTATGTGCATTCGCAAATTCGAATATCACCCAATATCAAAAATATCTTAAGCTGGGCTGTGTAATTGTAACCACCTCTTAGATCTGGTCTCTGTTTGCACTTATAGGCTACGTTGATTATGGTTGCACTTGTTTGCACTTATGAAATGTTATTTCTGCATTCAATTTGTGGAAAGGAGTTCAATTACTTCGTCACACAAAGCCTCAATCAGAAGTTCTGGAAGCTCATAATTCATACAGTAAGGTCTAAAGAGACTTGTGTGAAATCATACTGGAGAGAAGCCAGTCAGTTTGTGGCAAAACCTTTTACAGTGCTTGTATATTTTTGTCCTTCAATGCATTTGATGATACTGAGAAATAAGAACTGAAGTGACATTCATAATAATATGATTAGTTAAAGGTGCCCTAGAATGTTTTTTTTTTAATTATTTTATAATGTTTCCTGGGTTGCCCTTAATGTTTTTAGATCCAAAATAGTCATAATTTAGAAATAAAAGGCATTTTTCGTAGCCTGATTTTAGCCTCTGCTTTGAACACTCTGTTTGAAGGGGCGTGTCTGCTGTGTGTAACCGGTCCCTGCTGTGATTGGCTGACATGCTTGCATATGAAATAGAGAGCCTAAGTCCCGCCCCTCCGCTTCCGGCTCATGGGACCTTATTTCGGAAAAAAATATGAATGGTAATCAATGGCGAGAGACAACTTATCTTTTTATTCCATCTGAACTGTGCCCTCAATTACACATATGTTTATCAATTTAAAAGATAATTCTGAAAGTCAAAAACATTGCAGTTTGTCATAAAACAGAAGAGTAACATTTAGTTTTATGTGAAAATCGCTCTATGAACTACATCTCCCGGGAAGCGAAACAACGAGTGAGATCCGCTGCTCGTGTGTGTGCAGTCTGGTACAAAACACCCATGAATGACGGCGTAACGTTACGATTATAACGCAAGACTATAGAAACAATGACAGACAATAGCCTCAGTAAAGTTAGCTTCATTCATTGGGAGAAAATGTGCGCCTTTGGGGTTTGTAGTCTTTGTAATTACGTATTTTCACAGTCTTATACCTCAACGGTTTTACATCAAACTGCGACTTTCTTTACTTTAAAATGTATCTTTTAAATCGACAAACATCATATGTGTAATTCAGGGCATAATTCAAACGAGATCAAAATATTTGTTGTCTCTCGCCATTGACTACCATTCAATATTTTTCCGACATAAGGTCTCATGGTGGTCGACCGGAAGGGGAGGGACTTAGGATCTCTATAGACCATTTCACAAGATGTAAACAACACTGGTCCAGAAGCACTTCCTGTTTCAGTTTGTAACTGTTTTCTTTATTTCACATGTAAAGAAAACATCTTAAAGATGTTTGTTTAACTTTTTGATTCAGTTTTAAATGTTCTGTTGGTTGTATTTTATCCCAGCTTTTATGTAGTGTTAAAAAACTGAAACAGGAAGTGCTTCTGGACCAGTGTTGTTTACATCTTGTGAAATGGTCTATAGCTATGTATTACATGTGAAACTCTCTATTACATTTGAAACAAAAAAGCTTGTTGAATTGGCCTACTTGAAAAAATATGCATTGCATTGTAATGGGCTGAAATTCAACATGGTTGTATATTTAAGCTGTGAATATTTCAATTCAAAACGTTTCACACACATTTTCATTATTAAAAATTCAATAATCCATATTCACCTTTCAGATTTCACTTCCAAAATATTCATTCCATTTAAAAATACAACCTATCATATTCGGCAGGCAATTTTGGGTCCATTTTATTTCGCTTTACAAATCGAGCTGTCCTATGTGTCTGTATGGTTCAGTTTAATGATCTACAGCCAAATAGAACAAGCCTTGTTGATAACTAAGCAAAAATGTAATTACTACAATAGTAATTTCATGCTAGAAGTGGAAAACGATTAACTTTTACACACAAATTGATCAACCGCAACTTTCAGTCGCCATCTTTATTAGCTCAACTGTCAGTAAATAGAAAGCACAGGATTCAAAATCGATCAGATTAAGGTATCTCGGGATTGAGGAAGTAAAGGAAACATTTGGATTCGGACGTGCCTTGATGCCTTCCTACTTTAGAAATTTTCAGCTTTCGAATGCAACCCAAAGCTGTGTTCGACAACTTAAAAATGCTGCCTTCGGAGGATGCATTTCAAGGTTGGAAGGCATTAAGGCATGTCTGGGTCCGAATGGTAGCTTCCTGTCATCTGAGATACCTTCATCTAATCGATTTTTGACGGCATGTACAGTTCCAAAGCAACTTCCCCAGACCTACTCTGCTTGTCATGATTGCTGTTTATAATGAGAGCGCCATCTGGTGGTCATTTAGGGTACAGACTCCCAGGTAAATATGATTACCAAGGCTGTTTAAAAAATTAAATCTACTAGGCCTAGTGGCTGTTTTTGGGGTAACAAGTATGAATGGTGCATCAGAAATTAAACACGATCTTATTTGAAATCCCACCAGTTGTTAGAAAATTATTTAAAAAAAAAAATAGGCTACCTATTTTCACCTTAATCTGCTGCCTGCAGATGGTTTTAAAGACTTTCCTGGGCTTTAATGCTCACTTAAGATTATGTAACAATTTTCTATCAGCCTAAAAGCTGAAATAGTATGAAGGGAAACGCAAGGATTGAAAACAGAAAATGAGGCACCATATGTGCTCCTGCCACATGAAAGAAATGTGATGAAAAGCATCTCCTGGATGCAAGAAAGCCAAAAGGTTATTCAGAAACACCTGGGAATGGATGGAGGAGACAGTGTACTTCCAAATGAATTATGTGGCCATATCCCCGAGGCTGGCTCCACACAGGCTTTAATGAAATGCTGTGTAGTGGACATAAAGAGAAATGGCTTCCACCTCAAGATTCTGGGGGAAAGCAGTGGGCAGTGGTGCATTTTGTAAAGCATGCCCAAGAGACTGTGAGCAACTTTTGCAGGAACTCCAGCGATATCCAAATCCCACGGGAATAGTCATTACATGTTTGAAGCAATGGGTAAATCCAGCCCACAAAAAAAGACAACAGTATTCTCTTTGGAGACGAGGTTGTAATTAAACCTGAAGGAAAATGCTGGGGTTATTAAAATAAGTGGAATATTAAAAACAGCAGAAAGATCAATCATCTAAGAATGAACATGTGTTTGTTAAATATGAGGTGGAGCTCTTGGCGGGGTCTTTTTACAGATTTCCGTGAGCTGATTAGCACTAAAAAGGAAGGAAATGTTGAACATGATTCAGTTCGGTTCAGTTGGACATTGCACAACTGATTCAGATCACTTGGACGTGACTGTGATTACAAGAGGTAAAAACGATCTAAATACTGTTCATTTTCTCACACAAACCGCTCGTTTCGTGTCTTAGGCCATCAATGTGTACATTTACAAGTCATTAAATCATGTTTAATTTTGACTTCTCTGTGCATGCTCTTTGAGGTGAACCGAGGGTGGACCCCCATACCTGCATTATATGACTGGCAGACAACAATGGTTTGACTGAAAAATGTCAAAATTGAAAATACTGCAGAAATAAAGACACCAAATCTTGGATGCCCTTGAGGTAAGCTAAAACATATCAAAAATTAATTTCAAAGTGAGCTATCCCTTTAAGTTACACCATAGTCACTATAGTAATGTACTGTTAAATATGTATTGTTTATTTAATTAATTTTAATTAATTAATATTTTAATTAATTTTTATCTATATTATTCAACAATTGTATGTATTAATTTTAAAGTATTTAATAGACAACTATAGTGTTAATGAAATGTATGTATTTAATTTGAGACCGTGTATTTATTTATTTATTTAAATCATTGTATTATTATAAATAATAATATTTTAATCATTTTATTTTTTACGTTTGTTTGTGTGTGTGTTTTTTTTTAATTTTTTTTTTTTTTTTGTCTGGCACGTACCACCTTGCTGATTTGAGACATTCCGCTAGGTGGCAATAGCACATCTTTGAGCTACGTAATGTTTACAATGTAAACCACCAAAAGAAGAAAAAAGCAAACGACGGAAGAGACCTTTGGATTATCACCACTTCCCAGTAAATGATACTCTTTAAATACGATCAAACATGAATGAAGAGAAGTATCCGCGATCATCTATTGAGGATGATTTTAATTATGGCACGAACGTCGCGACTGCGAGTGTGCACATCCGGATGGGTGAGTTAAACCGATGTTTACAATAAAGTCTACGTAATTAGTAATGCAATCATTATAATGCTATGGCTTGGAAAGGATAAACATGTGAAACAGCTGGAGCGGGGTGTCTATTTTATTTACAATTATTTCACTTGGGTTCATCATAAGACATATGGAGACATATGGCGCACATTATATAAATCAGCTGTCACGAGTCGTTGGGTTCTTTATTGATTTCACAAATAGAAACAGTCTCTTAAATGTTGCCTGTAGTAGTTGTCAAACCTGCTTATCGAGTTTTTTTTTTTTGTTTGTTTTTTTTTTTGGGAAAGATAGACGTCTTGTTTGAGAATAAATAAGCCCGGTCAAGCTATAATATATGTCAATCAATATATAATTCAGTTCCACGAAACCTGTCTCTAACCATACCCATATTTTTTTAACACAAGTAAATTGTATCATTTTGTTTTTGTAAGTACATAATAGTTAAATACACCTAATATAAGGTGTGACCTTATTTATTTATTTACTACATGTGTGTAAATGTGGTTGAGGAGTTGACGCTCAAGTCATATTTCTCTCTAGATTTCCTCCGCAAGGTCTACACCATCCTTTCACTGCAGATTATCATCACCACTGCTGTATCTGCCCTTTTCATGCTCTGCAACCCCATTAAAACATTTGTGCACGAAAGGTAAGACCACATCCTCCCTGTGGCTGATAAATATAAAATACACTTTAAGCTGTGTAACTATATTATTGTGAACCACTGCATTAATTTTTCAGTCCCGCTCTGGTGCTGATATCTGCAATCGGGTCCCTTATCCTGCTGCTTGCATTGGCTGTGTACCGTCACCAGCACCCCATCAATCTTTATTTGCTGTTTGGATTTGTGAGTATATACCTCAAAACAACATTTTAAGTATGATATACACACTCACTGGCCACTTTATTAAGCACAACTGTTCAACTGCTCATTAACGCAAATATGGAATTAGCCAATCACACGGCTGCAACTCAATCCATGTAGATATGGTCAAGGCAGTTCTGAAGGGCAAGCAAGGTGTACTTAATAAAGTGGCCAGTGTGTGTGTGTATATATAACATATTATGAAGTATTATAATGTAATGGCTGTACATGTTTATGCAGACTCTGCTGGAGTCTCTGTCTGTAGCCACTGCAGGTAAGTTTATGCATTTTCGTAATTGATAAACATCCAGTTCCATAATACTATTGGACACCTCTGTGATGGATCATCTGATATCATATTTTTCTGCTTTCAGTGTCATTTTATGAGTACACAATAGTGCTTCAGGCCTTTGTGCTCACGTCTGCCGTGTTCCTGGGTCTCACTGCCTACACTTTCCAGTCTAAAAGAGACTTCAGCAAACTCGGAGCCAGGTAATTCTCTCTTCTTCATTCGCTCAAGGCCCAGATCTGTCACATTCATCACAGTAACTGAGTGCAAGAATGATCGTTTTAATCCATTTACACCATGTGGAATGGTGTTCTTTGAGTTAGAAATTGTCTCTGGAGAAACATTCTTCTTTCCCGTTATTAAACTGAAATGTAACACAAATAACGGGGCTCCATGAGTCATAACTCTGTGTTTTGATGTGGTGCATGGCCTGATCGTCAGCTTGGGAGAAGTGAATGTCTTTTGTGAGGAGAATTGAAGATTTTTTTACATTCACATTATTGTTTAATTATTCATATTATTGGTTTTGTGTATTAATAATTGGCCATTTTTATCTTTAGTCTGTTTGCTGGCCTGTGGATCTTGATCATTGCAAGCTTTTTGAGGGTGAGTTTTTGGCCTGTCAATTTTTTAACTGAATGTTCTGGAAGTAATGTAAGTTAAATCTGTACTTCTGTTTAAGTATAATTATTTCCATTTTAGGTATAAAATATGAACAAAATATATTTGTTATTTAATATATATTATTTATTCTAAGGAATGATTTTCTTCTTCAATTGGAATTTATATTATCAAATGATTGAGTTTGTAGCGTTGTGGTCAAGTCGCACAATTTGATTCAAGCCAAACTCTCCTTCAGCTTTTCTTCTACAATGACACAATGGAGTTGGTCTTCGCCGGGGCTGGAGCTCTGCTGTTCTGCGGGTTCATTATTTTCGATACACACTTGCTGATGCATAAGCTGTCCCCAGAGGAACACGTTCTGGCATCCATCAATCTGTACCTGGACATAGTCAACCTGTTCCTGTACATCCTGCGCATTCTCGACTCCATGAAGAAACACTGAATGTTGTGACGCTCTTCTTCGATTTCAGAGGTGAATTCTGGGTGCAGTGCTGGGAGTGGTATAATAATATTATATTTTGATTTTCTTTAACTTATAGTTTGGCACTGTTTGAACTAATCGAATTATAATGTATTGTTAATTAGAATCCAAATTAAGAAAAAAACAAAACAATATTGTGAATCATGGTGTGAAATATTTATATGTGATAAAAAAATCTTTAAAAATACATATGTTTTGCAATGTTCAGAATTATTGGAGTGTGTGTGCTATATACTATGTCTATTTGGGCATTAAGAGCAAACTCCTGATTTTGGTTCATTATTGGCATTAGTTGAGTTGATGATCCTCATGACATTTGCATACCAGGTGTGAACGTTCAACTTGCAAAGTGGTAATTGTAATTTAATGGCCAAATGTGAATGTTTCAAACATGATTGTACAACTTAACTTGGTGTTGTTGATTGGATTCCTCTATTTTTGAATGTAGTGTGAAATTTTGAATATTTATTTAGGTGTTGTAAATCAGTGTTATAGTGATAATTCACCCAAAAAATGAAGATTCTGTCATCATTTACTTACCCTCAAATTGGTAACCAGACACCCATTGACTTCCATTATATTTGGAACAATTTGATGGTGAGTGAATTTTCATTTTTGGGTGAACTATCCCTTTAATGGTTTGGGAACCAATGTTACGAGAAGCCTGCAATATTTAGTTTAGTTTGGATGTGTTAATGGAATGTTTATGATTTTAAAGTAACTAGACACTTTTACTTAAAAGGCCCGAATTACATTATAAGAGCTGCAAAGAAACCAAAACATCTTGAAAATAATATATATTTTTTTTATTTGCAGCAGTCTTTGGTGTAACAATATACTATTCACTAAATAAACATGATTTTAAAGCAGCATGCAGTCAGTTTCAAAAGCATCAATAAATATAAAACATTATTCAGGGATCTCTGTATGCCTGTACCCAAAGTGCAATATTAGTCATAATAAAACATAATAATATGTATAATAATAGAGAGAAATATTGCTCTTGATTTATTTTTAAAAGGGCAAAATTGTCACATGAAAAAAAAAAACTGAGATTGATTATAATTTAATGTTCTTTGGTGTTGTAATTAAAAAATAAAATATTTTACCCTGTATATGTTGTCTTCATATAAAACAGTTAGTTACTATCATTGAATTTAAATGGTTGAGCTGAAGTCCAGTGATGATATCCTCCAAAAGCACTCGAATAATTCAATCTTATTTTATGTAAGGGGTATTTGTGTATTTATTTGCCACAACATACCCGTGATTTTTCAGTTGTTTAATAGGTAGAACCCAATATTACATTGCTCTAATTGAAAGTGCTGATGCCCTGTCTTTGCATAGAATAACAACTTGCCCACATGTTCAAAGAAAGTGAAACCATGAGCTTCTGCATACTTTGAACATCTGATGTCATAAATGATTTCTGCTCTCTAGTTGACCGGGAGGAGGGAAATGGATCAGACTGCACCATTTACTGACATTTTAGCAGATAAAATCTCAATGTCTCTCAGTAGATCGGGTTCACGACTTATGTCTTTTCTCAAACTGTTGGGGATTTCCAGCTTGCAGATGTCTTCTTTTCTCACCATACTCCGGATCAACCGTGCACAATATTCTTGTAATGAGTACACTGTAAAAACAGAACATAGATGTATATATATTAAATGAAACTATGTTAGTGCATATGAAGCATCATGAGATGAAGGACGGACTCGCACCTGGTGCAGTCACACACACAGACTTGTATAGCGGGTATCCGTACTCATACTGCGCTTGAGTTGGAAAGTAAACTTCACTGAGGTTAGCCAGCAGTTTAGCTCCGTCAGATGCTCTGAAGATCCACGGATGAGCTGTTAAAAATACTTGCTTTAGTGGTACAAAGTCAAGCAACAAACCGGAGAGGTTGCTAGTTCTACGGTACTTACTCAGGTATGTGTTCATCTTGAGCGTTTTCCCCGGTTTTATGTCGCCGTAAGATACGGGTTTTCCCGAGAAGTTTAGCCACCATGCTTTGGCATTCCGACTGGATTTGTTAACAAAGGAGATAAATGTTGGATCATTCGAGTTTAGAGATTTCAGGGGTGTGGGCACTTCCTGTTCTGCCATAGTGCTGCTGTTACGGAACGTGGATGTAGTGACCCTGTATCACTGATAGGTGGCAGGATTACACACTCTTATTCATGGGACATATAGACCTTATTCGGAGCAGCGCCATGGTGACAGGTAGCTGAAAAGTGGTGAAAGCGAGACACGTTTTTATGGCACGTTTTTATTGGCATTCGGTGTTTAAAGCTTCTAGATCACTTATATTTTTACACAGCTCGTGTTTTTGTCAACCGAAATTTCTTGGAAATAAATCATCACGGTGTGTCGTCGATAAAACATTCAAAGCACGTTAAATAACAGTAACCCACTGAAGAGAATACAGCCACGCACAAAAAATCAAAACAAATATGGTGCTGCTTGATTTTCAACCTTTTTTTTCTTTCAGTTTTTTATTACATAATTATAATTTAGCACAAAAATAAATACAGAACAATGACTGTGAACGTGGGGATACAGAGAAAAGTAAAAAAGAAAAAAAAAATGACAATTTGCTTAATTTCAAAGCTTTTTGTTGGAACTCCAACCCCAATCATTTTTTAATTGTTTACAGTATGTCATTTTTGCCATGTCAATAATGTTGGAAATGTTACCAAATAATTGTTGGAGCCTAGATATTAAATCGGGTATCATTTAGGTCATTAGCTTCTCAAAAAAATAATCTCCACTGCCACAGACCCTTCATTTCTGGATCATATGCAGCATGTCTGCATAAGAGATTTGGGATTGAACACAGTAAGAGGAGTTCCATTTGGTCTCAGTTTTAAAAGTCACATGATTTGCCAGCCATACTCCTGGATCCCCCCTCACCCGCTCTGTTCAGAAAGACTCAGGGAGAGATGCGATGGAGAAATCCACTTAAAATTCCAGGGTGGCTGGTTCTTGAAGGATGGGGGCACTCAGAAATTCTTGCGTGATGACAGCGAGGCTTTGATGTCGGTGTTTTTGTCTCTGGAGAAGCAGGGCAGGGCTGTCTTGAGACAAGAGCGAAAGATCCTATTCTCTAGAGACACTGATTCACTTTACAGCTCAGACTATACACACAATCATATAGGCTGGGAGTTTTAAAGCACACTATCCATGTAAATGTGATTGCATTTCAAAGTCTTCTCAGTGAAGTGATTTATTTAGTTAAGAGTCTTATAACTGCGCTTTATCCCACGCTAATTCGTTTTCCTATACTCCTTTCCTTTTTTTTTGGAATTCCTGTTTAATTTTCCTTGCCTTTATTTATAGCATTTCACCATATTATAAGAAGGTGGCACAGCATGTTTCTCTCTGATGTTTCTTGGCAGGTTTAGTTTGATGGAGTGGGTGGTTTGGCGTTCTCTCTAAAGGATTCAGAGGTGTTTTCATTTAGCCTTTTTTTTTTTTTTGCCTATATTCGCGCCGTTTGCTGTTTATTGTTAACAAAAGTCTTTCCACACACGTTTATATATATATATAAAAACCTTTATATGACTTTACAGAACAGATTTATCAAAGTTTTAAAAAATGTGAAATAAATGTATGGGTGTGCAGTTCGAAAGAAGCAAAAAGTCTGTTTCGCAATTAACCCACAATTCCATGCATCATGGCATGGGTTCCCATAAAAAAAAACCTTGATTTATCAAGGACAATGTTGATTTCCAAGCTTAGGAAGTCATGCAACATTTTAAAAAGTCAAGGAAAATCTTAGAAATGTTTGTAGCAAATACTTTTGCATACTATTTTAAAGTTCTTTACAGGCATCAATGGTTCCATGAAGAAACTTTTAACATTTTGTATTGCACAAAATGTGTTTTATAGTGGAAAAGGGCTCTTCGGATTATATAAAAACAAAATTATCTTCAGTTTTACACCTGTTTTTTACCCTGTTAGCAAAAAAACCCATCTTAATACCAGGTGTAAAGAAGGCCTAAGAAATGTTTTAAGAACTCAAAGGTGGCATCACTTTTGGAAAACCAAGAAATGTAATGCAATTGATTGAACCCTGATAGATACATGTATGTTTTGGCCTTAAATCTTAGTTAACCTTTCATTATAAAGCCTAAATGTTTGAATCTTTATCCAAGGAGGTTCATAAAGTCATTCCTAACACTTAAATGACATCTTGTCTGGAAACTTTGAAGAATGAGAAGTAAGTGCACACATGTGCTTGGCTAGACTTGTATAGTCAAAGTCTTTGCGTTATTGAAGCCCAGAGTGTCTAACAATGGCACTTTAAGAGTCAGTGCCCATCCCCAGTATCCGCGTTGCAGTGTTCTCGATCCTCTACCTGTAAGCCTACTGTATTTTCCGGCGGGGTGATTATGTATGGGGAGCAGAGCAGATCTAAAGCTCTTGGCTCAGACAGCCCATTCTCCTGCTTGCGCTTTGATGTCCTGCTTTCATTGCTTCTCCTTTGCTGGGACAATGACGAGAACCTTTCGCCACAGTGGGCATTATGCGCTTGTTGCTTTTGTTGGTTTGGTCTTTCTCCTCCACACCACAGGGGAATTTTCCTGACTGGCACAAACATACTCATACTACCCACTAGACTGACTTCTCTCGCTTCTCTCTTCTTCACCAGCAGGGCCTTCACAACATCTTCACATCCTCAAAGTGCCTTCATGAAGCTGTCTGATGTCATTTTCAAGCATGCAAGTCAGGTTTGTACCCATAGGAGCTGAGTTGGCCATCATCACAATTTAAAACAGGCTCCTTGCAGCAGATTTTCATTTGTATGAATTTCTGGCACTGCTCCTTTTCACATTTTATGAACTACTGCATGTTCTAAGCTGGTCAAAATGCCAAATGTACACATGTATTACAAGCGTATTTTGCCCAAAGCCCAAAGCCTTGTTTTGGATGGGTTTTTTGTTTTTTTAGGTTCGGTCTTAAATGACAGTGTGAAAGCTAAGCGAATCAGGACTAAATGTTTTATTTTCTTAGAAACTTTACCAAGACTTCTCTTTTCTCATAAAATTATTATAACTTTATGCTTTTCAGTTAACACCATGAACATCACCTTATTACCATCCTTACCAACAGGCGATAACATTCGTAATTAGAATATTTATTTTTATACAACTTCGTACTTTATTGTTAAGGCCCATCAAACCAAGAAAGCAAACTAGTGTCCACACCAATTAACGGACGATAACTTTGTTTATTATAAGCACATTTTGTCGTCTGCCACTTTAAATTCTCATCCTCTTTAAAGTTGGCTGGTTTCTGATTGGCTGTCAATGTTTTTTTGTCGTTCTGAAAAGTAAGAGGAGAGAAAAGTCAAAATACATTTTTGTGGTAACCAGCATTATGCCAAGTGCTGTCAATAGACCTCAACTATTGAAAGTGAAATATTCCTGTAAGAACGTCGAGCATCTTATTTTTGCCCTTCGTTCCGTCCTATAATCAGAAGGCGGGTCTTCTACTGCTATGATTCTCAGAAGAGCCGTTATATGAAGTGTAATGGAGAGAACATTTCAATTTGATTCTCAACAGACCGAATCTTTCTGATGTTTCCCTGCTTCGGCGCCCAGAGGCAGATACAAATGGAACATACCTGTTCCTGCACCTGCTTAACGCAAGTTACCAGATGTTTGGAAAATTCACAGGCACGAAATGACTCAGTGGTTTCCATGGTTACCGCCATTTCATTTGCCTGCTACATTTTTGACATTCCACAAAGTGTTTTTGTTATTGTTGTATTTCCTCCATGAAAGGTGACCTGACAGGGCAACTTCGCGTGGCTCCCATGGGCTCCGCGGGGCAATCATGGTGGGCCGAGCTGCTATGTGATGTGGAACAGTACAAATAATCACCCGGCCAGCTGTTTATTTTCACCTGTCCTCTCTGGCCACCACACCAGCTTCCTCTGGACCGCGGCGGGAAGCACGGCTGATCGAGCGGCGCCCCCCCCCCCCCATAGAGGTTAATTGGTGTAATGTGTGAATGATCTTCCTAGTCTGCATGTGTGGGTATGCTCGTATGCACATTGCCATCGTTCTTCTTTACCAAGACCTTTTCAACCTTGAAATCCAAAGATTGCTTTTTGAGTGATTGGCTCAAAGGATGAGTGCTCTTCCAGGTGGCTGTTGCACAAGGTTTCATGTATTTTGGTAAGTAGACATCAACATTCCAGTTGCATGATGTTACTTTTACCGAAACCAACATCTGACAATTCATCTCATGATGGTGGAGGTGGTAAACATCTGCACCCTGTCTATCAGCTTTGCTTTTTTTCGCACTATACTTGAGATGGGGAATATGAGAATATGTGAATACTTGGATTTTTTGGGGGTAAGAAAGCATCATTTATTCTGCACAGGAGAGCAACAAGGTACTTATTCGCCTGCCAGCGCACACAGAGTTAGACCCACCACAGTGTAGTCCCTTCGCAATCGCACAGAAGCCGCAAGACTGGCCCGTAAAAACTCGCTTTATTTTACAACGCTCCCTTATAGAAAGTCTGTGGAACAAATGATGGCATAACATTTAACCAGGTTTAAGAAAGATTAAGTAATCTGAGTCATGTTCCAGCGCTGTGCCATACAGGATCATTAAATAGATCAAAAGACATTTCTAATGTCTTCTAATGAACCGTTTGGTTCCCATTGAAGTCCATTATATGGAGAAAATCCTGGAATGTTTTCATCAAAAACCTTAATTTCTTTTCGACTGAAGAAAGAAAGACGTGGACATCTTGGATGACATGGGGGACTACTACTTTAACAGAGGTACTGAACTTGATGATCTGATTCAAATGAATTATTTATTCATGAATGTGTACTTATGAACACACCAAGTAAAAGAGCTGCATGAACAATTGTTAAACTTTTGATGCTTTTGTGTCTTATTTTTTTTTGGAGCTTGACAGATTCATCCAAGACCCTTTGTGTTCCACAAAACACAAGTTAGTCATTCAGGTTTGGAACGACATGAGGGTGAGTAAATAATGACACAACCATCCCTTTAAGAGTTAAGACACTTAATCTTTGCAGGATCCAAGAAAACATGTTTTATTTGTGTAATGAAGTCACGTGAAAAAGTTTTTCAAACTTTTTTTTGGCCTAATGA